TATTACTATTTCTTGACATCTAAACGTCAACTTCGTTTTGTCATTCGAGTTGTAACATTAAACGTGTTCAACATCAAACTTCTCGTTCGGGACCTTCATTGTCTCAAGCACCGTGCTGGCACTGCGGGGTTCCAAGCTCTTCTTAACAGGGTTTGGAGCGGAGAACACCTCCTCCAACTCCTCAAGAGTACGGTGCTTGGTCTCGGGGAAGAAGAAAAAGATAAAGATGGCCTCGAGAATGTCCCTGAATTGTCACGTCAGCTACCTCTGTGTATGATTCACTCTTCAGGTATCGCTTACCAGAAGACGAAGACGAGATAAAAGTAGTATCCGATCTTCTCAAACGCGGGTCCAGAGCTATAAGCAAGGACAAGAGAGATGGCAGACGACGCGAAGTTGCCAACGGCAGTTCCCTTGGCGCGAGTGGTAGTCGTCAAGGTCTCTGCGATGTACATACTCTGCTGGGCTGTCCATCCGAGCGAGAAGACAACGCCGAAAAGGTACACGAAGGCAATGGTAGTGTTTGCAGCATTGGTGTTGTCCGGGTTGTCAACAGCCATCTTCGACGTTCCGGTCATAACAGCGAAAGTCATGCTGCAGAAGAGAATGCTGTAAATGAGCAAAGGGCGGCGGCCAACCCTGTCAGTCAGACGGGCACCGACAACACTGCCGAGAAGACCGAGAACACTGTTGACTGCGTTAAGAGCGAGGACCTTCTGCTCTTGGACGATGCCGGCCGTATTCATCATAGTTACGAGGTAGTAGCTGGAAAGTGAGTTTCCGGAGGCCTGCAGCTGTTAGTGAATGCGTCGGAAGAATGAGCCGAGCCGTAAGTACCTGTCCCATAATGGCCATGCCAATGACGCAAATCAATCTCCGGCGCGCAGAATGGGTATTCCAGAGTTCGTGGTAATCCCACCACTTCTTATCACTAGCCTCGCTCGAAATCTGCGCCATCATCTCCTTCATCTGCAGTTGTACAATCGGGTGCTCGGGATCATTCTCGCCGTGAAGCTTGGTAAGAATCTTGGCCGCTTCTTCATGTCGATCGTTGGCAACGAGCCACCTAGGCTATTTCCAACTGTCAGCAAAGTCATGGGGAAGAGAAGGCAGCGACTTACGCTCTCGGGTAGGAAGTAGACGAAGATGAGCACGATGCCGCTAGTGACCATCTGGATCCAGACGGGGATTCTCCATCCATCATCTCCTGGGATAAAGGAAGAACCATAGACAACCCATCCTGCAATGATTGATCCAACAGGCCTGTTGCTCGTCAGAATCTTGGCACTTGAAATGACGCAGTTCTTTGTCTGTACTTACCACATGCAATTGTACAAGCCAGTGAGCGTTCCTCGCCACTTGGGATGGGCCAGCTCGCTCACGTAGGTAGGGGCAGAAACGCAGCAGAAGGAGACACCGAAGCCCAGAATGAAACGTCCACCCAAGAAGTGAGGAATATCGTGGCTCGTCGCCCTAATATTCTTATTAGTAATGCAGATTTCCAGATGTTCAAATTCCAGAGTGTTGTCTTACTGCACCGCGGTGCCGACGATGATCAAAGCCGCACCCGTGAACATACCCCACCGGCGGCCAAAAAGATCGTTGACGGGTCCGGTAAAGAAGATGGCAGCTACAGAGCCGACGTTGTACCTAATTGCCCTCATCAGAAACCAAGCCCTTATATCCAGATTGCAAAGCATCGCTCACATCATGAAGACGATACCGGTGGATGAGCCCGAGGTTGTCATGTTGAAAGTTCGTTGGTACGAGGTCATGCCATTGAGACCACCTGGCACACGATTAGCGATCTACATCCCCTGCTACGTCCACATGTGAGGCCTGACATACCCATAAGCGATCCATCGTAACCATTGAGGGCACCACAGCAGTATGCGACGAAAAGAACACCATAGAGGGTGAACATTGACTTGGTCCACGGCGAATACTTGCTGTCGTCGACTTCGTGCGCGATCTCATGTGCGACAACCGCGGCGACCTCTGCGGGAGGCGCATCTTCTCTTACGTCGCTACTGGCGTGGTCATATTTCTCGCTATTTGTTGGCGCAGCCATGTTGGCAGGCAGGAGACGTAACTCGTCAGTCTCTCGTTAGTTCAAAAGGTAGATGAAAAGCTCAGAAGGGCGGACAGTCAAAAAGCCAGCCACCTCTCCAAGTTCTCGCAGGCGCACACCTCTTTTATAAGCTCGACTGCTTCATCCCAATGGCTCGCTTCTCCCACGTTCCCTTGGCTTGCAACCATGCCACCCAAGAAAAAGCCATGCAACGCCAACGCGTGAGGTGCCAAACCCACCGCGTATCCACATCCGTGGGTTCATCGAAACAGCTGAGCTATCCCCGCAATACCCCAGACCGCGCGATCCCCCGGCCGATCACATGAGGAGGTTGACGGCGTGTGGTGCTAGGGTGGGATGCGAAATCCGGGTTGTGTCCGGCATTGCACATCGGAGCGCAGCGAAGAGCCGCGGTAGGAAATTGAACCGGATCGCCGAGGCGCGTCGTGATTGGAGGGGTTAAAGGTGTCGAGCAGACGAACGACGGGTTGGTCCATGGCGTCGCTTGGCGATCCTTTGCCGATGGGGTGAGCGGTGCTGTCGGCTCCGGGTTCCCCGAGGGTACGCTCCCAATATGCCGCGGCATGGGCCAGTCGCAACGGCTGGAAAATGGCTTCATACTGTTTGGTGAAACTAGGAACCAAAGTTTCTGATGGCTGGTCTGTTCCAGAGTTTTGGCTGCCCTCGGCAACGTTCCACGTTCTCGGGATGAGCCACGTTGGTTGGCCTGCCTCTATTGAGCCACTTGCGTGGGAACTTTCATTAGGTGGCGTGCGCGAGATCATGGGATAGGTAACGAGATTCAAACACACGACATCATAGGGCGTTTGGGTTTCTGCGTGTTCGGCCGACATCTGCCGGATTCTGCGGCATCGGCCGGGGGAACCGGGCCGGACCTGAGTCCTGCTTCGCCGGTTTTCCATACCAGACACAAAGCGTAAGCTGTAGTGAGATGCCAAAGACAATCCAAATACGCTCAGTCCTTGGTTCTTCGTAGCACATTGGATAGTTTTTTCCTTGGCGTTCAGTTCCCGATCTGATATGTATTCCTAGGCGCAATTTGGCTCTCAGCGTTTAGTTTCGGCAAATTACTCCCTGAAATACGAGTTCTCATTCTCGGTCGACATGAACATGACATCATGAACTTGTTGGCCTGTCTCCCATTCTTTGCAGGGGGACCCAACCGACCCATCTCGGCTCCGGCCGCAGCGGCCTTCCTCGGACCACATCCCCACGTTGTCGTTCCCACTGTCAACCGCCTGCAGTCATTTAAAAAGCGGGCGCTGTGGGTCGTTTCCACCTTCTGAACAGAGGAATCTTTCGTTGCCAAAGTCTCGACTCGGTGTCGGTGATTGGAGCCGATGTTAGGCCAGCTGTGGAGCACGCGACGACGAGATTCCGTGTTTGAGGGATGGTTTTTTTTTGGTCCCCTCTCCTTGTCATCATCATGTATTATGCACAACGTTGCCTGCGTTTCAACGGAATACTAGCCTTCTCACAGTGTCCAATAATGGCGGCATTCGTTTCAATGATCTCAATCAGGGCCCAATCCCCATGAACTGATTTCCGGGCAAATTCCCCACCTGGCTGTCCTGAAGCTGCCAAAAGCGTTCGAAGCTGTATTTGTACTGGATCACCGACTTCATGGATGCAGACCGAAAATGGCTCTAAACGGACGACTGAACAGACTTGATAGGATCCAGAATCTGGTTCTGTGTCTGACACCGCTCCGTGCGTGTTTAGGTAGAATGTGATGCTTTGAATATATTACCCGGTACAATGAGACCAGATTCCGATTGAGAACTTCGTCTCTTCTTTTATTAGATACTCAAAATCATTTGGATAACATGCCTGTCTAACCCAAGTAATCTTTACTATGCCCGAACTTATGTGGCTGGACGTCATAGTCGACAAAGGCAAAGGCGCACGCCGCATGATCTAAGCCCCGCGGTCATTTGATCTAAACCCCGCGATGAATCACACGTCAACTACACGCAATATTCCATCAATCGCAATCTATTGCGGCTTGCACAACATTGCCCCTGTTTGAGCAATCTGGCAGCCCAATGGGATCAGACGGTTTGGAACAGGAACCAACCAAGGAACAACAGCCGCCGCCGCTGGCTTTGAACTCTGCACAAGAGAGGGAAGAACAGCAACTGCTTCCAAGGGGCTCTGGAAGTGACGGCGGCGTTCCTTCGGTTCACCCAACAGCGTGCTTCAATTGCCGATCAGCAAGACAACGATGCGACCGTCGCCTGCCTTGGTAAGTCGAGTATTCATCTGTTCTCAGCCAAGATGAAAATCAACGGCTGACGTCATTGAACAGTTCGCGATGTATTTCTCAGGATCGAACATGTCGATATCCATCTGGCTCTCGAAGAGGTCGCAAGCACGGAAGTGTAAAGTACGAAGACTACTTGCGAGAGTTAACATTTCATTGGCTGATTTCGAGCCAGTAAGCCGGACACCGTGGAAAAGATACTGGCACGCATCAACGAGAGCCCCTTGCGTGCCCAGGTTATCGCTACCCTCCTTCGCGAACATAGCGGACAGATGTTTCCAACGACACCACCGATACCTTCAAGACCTCATCCTGCCCCTGCCATCGCTGAAGATGGAGTCTCTAGCTGCATCCACGTTGCGACCGAACAACATGAGTCATTCCCTCACGATAATCACCGGCGAAGTCTCGGCCAAGTTTTCACACCAAGCGAGCAGAGCTCCGTGGTGTCACCTTATCATATTATGGCTGCAGCCGCTGCAGATATGACTCCGTCGCAATATGGGGGAGGTTCACTTGTTGTTGATCCGGAATTGACCGCACATTTCAGTCATGCTGAGAGCCCAGACCCCATTTACAAAAGGCTTGAAACATACTTCGGTAATACTCCTTGGATATTCCCTATCACAAGATAATGCTGACGAGATGGTGAGCAGCACCTCGGACTGCTTACCCCAAGGACTGGCAAGTGTAAGCAAATCAGTCGATAGACAGTACTCTCAAACTAGAAGCCGATGCCTGCGACCCGATAACTGCTCGTTTGATTGATAAGGACGATGTAGACCTATACTGGAGTCTGTAAGTGTGGCCCTTGTGATGCTGCATCATGGCTGGGACTGATCGTGGATTTCGGTTCAAGCTTCTTCCAAATACGCAACTCTTTCATCGGCCTTCTAGACCCTGTACTCCACACTTCCGAATACGTCTACTCGCATTCGTTTACGCTGTTCTCTGTTGTTTGCGCTATGGGGTGCGGCATATCGGGTCGAGCAAGAGACCGGATTCTATACCCGACATTGCTATCGATCGCAGAGGCCAATGTAAGATGGCCATAGCCATGTCAATCAGATCAGTAGAGCTGATTCAAGCCATCATCAACTTGAAATACTGGGCACCTATTTGCGAAAGACATGCGGATGATCCTTACTGGCTTCAAGTCAGTTATGTAGGTATACGGTTGCAACATCCGGCGACTAAGCATTGTTACTAATTATTACTCGTGAATTAACTAGATCGCACCGTTGGCAAGAGAAATGGGGATCAACTCCTCTGATGCCGTTGCAAAGCTGGTGAACGCAGCCCAGCCAAACTCGACCAGTGAGCGGAAAGAACGTCTCACGCGAAACTTTGAGAGAACTTGGATCTACGTTTTTTCTTGCTGAGAAATCATTCGGGATCACCACCGGCCCTTATCTCAGTGTTTCTTGGAGCGAGTTGCCCCCAACCCTACCTGAATGGTGGCGAAAACCGATGACAAGTCCCACTGATCGTATGATCTGCGGTATTATAGAGATCAGAGGAAAGCTTGTGAGTAACTCGCTATTGCATCCTTCCTAGGCGGAGCATCAATGTCAGCTGACCAGTACCACAGTTGACAGCTTTAGGAAAACATTCGCTTGTAGATAGAAGCCTTTCAGCCCTGTTGGGCTGGCACTCGGATGCATTCGGGATTCTTGAGACTACTGGGGATCTCCGATGTACCCCAGACGGCTCACCCTCGTCACAGTATCTTCCGATTCTCGATTTCTACATGAGCCATTCACTGTTGGTGCTCAGCGCGACCGCGTTGAAGGATATGAAACCCCTTGACAAAAATGAAGCATCCGCAGAGATAGCAATCGTCACTGAAAGGACATTCAAAGTCGCCTCGAGGGCACTCAATGTCATTCTCTATGATGAGATTCTGCATGAGTTGATACTCGGAATCCAAAATAACATGTACATCATGATTGCTCACGCCATCACCGAGATAATTCAGGTAGATCGTTCTTACAGCCCATGTGCTTCATCTCGGACTGATGTTCAACTAACTGCTTTCTTAGGCTATCAAGCGCGGCTGTATCGCACCCTCCGATGTAATTGAGGCAGCGACTAAGGTTAAGGCGACTTCGACACGACTGGAGAAGCTAGGCCAACAACTGCCCTCCTCGTCCCCAATCCATCTAGTTAAAGGCCTCGCCCGTGTTTTCGCAACAGAACTGAGCAGGATGCTGAAGTCCAAAGAAACTGCTGCCGCCCAAGACGAGGAGGAAAACGCGGAGGAGCCGCCAGATTGGCTTAAAGCATTCGATGGAGGATCATTAGACTCTGCTGCATGGTTGGACATAGGCTTTCTGAGCTCTGGGCAGCCTCTCTCCGATTCTACTCAATTCACGGGCGCTGAAGGCCTCAACGGGCTAGTTTTTCCCTAGACGTCTGTGTCCCTCTACACCTGCTGAAAGGGGGCACCACACGCGAGTAAGGGCACGATCTGTAAATCAATTTTCAGGGCCGATGAACCTAGTCGAAAACGCGTAACACCACTTTATGAATCACTCTAGTTCAATTAAGCCTCGTACGTTACAGTACTAAACAGCGGGCCGCAATTATAGAGAAGTCTCTAATTGTAAATACAATACTGAAGATAAGCTCACTCATTTGCGTTTACCTTACCTAAAACCCCTGTTAGTGTGCGATTTATTACCCCTCTACGCTACTTTTGCCTATTCATACGTGCTAACGCTAAAAATATATTAATTAATGTAAATTATTATATAAATTAATTATTAATAGCTTTAGAAGACCCTTTTTTCGCTAGAATCTATATACTATCCTTCTTTTTATCTTTATAAGGTTAACTCCTCTTAAGTAAGTGTGTTAGGGTGTTATAAGAGGCTAAAACTATTACTAACTATATTAATTTAAAGCTTATAACATTATTATTATCTATTTAGCTAATATTATTAGTAAATTAATATATATTATTATGAAATCTAAATATAAATTAACTATTAGTATTATTAATAAGCCTCTTTTTACCTTATAATATTTATATAATTATATCCTATCTTCTAGTAGTAGAGTGCCTTAAATATATTAATATTAGAGATCTTATCGTTAAACCTATTTAGTAATATGAAGTATATATAATATAGCCCTCTTACTATCTATCCTCCTCACTAGTACTATATTTAATTAAAATTATACTAATATTATAGAGTAGATAATACTAAGGCTATTAAGTAGTAAGTAATAAGCTTAGCTAAAAGAGTTACTACCTATTTATTACTTTAATAATAAGTTAATTATAGAGCTTATTAAGTATAATATTATAATAGTTTAAATCTATTATTAATAATAAGAGGTATTTAGAGATATACTAAAACTATATTAATTAATAGGTTTTAGGTATTATAAGATATTACTAATTTATAAGGAGGTGATCTTTAAGTTTTTATATAATAAGACTAACTACTATTTTGATGAAGTTTAAAGTTTTCTTATAGAAGAGTTTAATTTATCTATATCTATATTAGTAATCTCTTACTACCTTAAAAAGATCTAATAGAAGAAAAAGAAGATTTAGTATATTACCTAGTAATAAAACTAAGCTATGTAAGAAGTATATATTATATTAATCTATAATTATACTACTGATATGTTTGTTTTTATTAATAAGAGTAGTATTAATTATTAAAGTAGTACTAGATATATAAGTTAGGTGCTAAAAGGTATAAGGCTATTAAAGTAGAGTATTATAAAAAGAGGTATATAGTATTATATCTTGCTAGCTCTTACTGTTAATAGTCTTCTTAATTATATTATTTATCTTAGATATATAGATACTAATAGCTTCTTATATTAGATTAAGAACTTTATACTACTAAAGATAGGGAAGTTTCCTAGCCTAAAGTTAGTCTTAGTTATAAATAACGCAGCATAATATAACTAGAAGTAGTTAGAGGATACCTATTAATAGTATAGCGTTAAGTTACTATACTTACCTACATACTTATTAGATTTTAACCTTATTAAGGTATTTTTTAGTAACCTTAAAAATTACTTATAGAGGTAGTATATAAAGTATAAATAGATTAAAGTAATAGATACCTTTTTTATAAACTTTCTTTATAACTATACCTTCAAAGTAGCTAAGAATATTAATACTATTTTATATCACTTTTATTACTATAGTATTTATATTAAAATAAATAGAGATATTAATAGAGAGGAGAGCTTATTATAAAGTTAAGTTTATAGCTATAGTTATATTTAACTTTAATGCTATTAAGGGCCTTTTTGCTTAAAAGAATATAATATTAATATAAAATAAAAATGATCTAATCTTAATAGTTAGTTAGCCTTATAACGCTTTGATTATAGTGTGTTTCTCTTTAGCTATAGCATTAGAAGTGTATTCTATTCGTTAGACGAATTACTACTAATTATTAAGGTTAAGATCTTTATATTTATATAAAGAAGTAGGAAAAAACCCCTCTCTACTTATTAAAACTTATTATTATTATTATTATTAAGTGATTAGGTAAGAGAAGTAGTAGGAGAGTAAATATTATTAGTTGCTTTAATTAGAGGGTTTTATTTAATAGTATTAGCTAGAAGTATTATATTGTCTAGAAGTATTATATTATCTGCTTAAAAATCTATTAGCTTTTAATGTTATAAAGGGGTAGGTATAAACTATAGTTAGTTATTAAATCTATAATATTTCGCTTAATTAGGAATTATTTAATTTTACCTCTAATTATCTCTGTGATACCTATAGGGATATTGTTTTTATTAAACTAATTAGTTAGTACTTTTTAAAGGGATTTAAGTTAGAAATAAACTTATAGAATAGTGTTAAGAGTAGTAGAGAGATTAATATCCTATTTAGTATCTCTAGTCCCTTCTATTCTTTATAGATACTTTAGATATTTATAGAGAAGTTATAGTATAAGCTTAATCTAAGGAATAAGTAGAGAGGAGGATAAAATTAGTAAATCCTACTTCTTAGTGCGTAGTAGTATTAATAGCAGTTTTATTAGTGGTAGTATTAGTAATAATAACTAAGTAGGAGTGTAGTAGTTATAATAAGGATAAGTTAGTAATATGAGGTTATAGAATAGTAATAGTAATAGTATATTAACTTAGTTTGTGATATAGAGGCTAAAAGAGGGTAGATTAAGCCTATTAATACTACTTCTACTGCTTTTACTGCTATTTACCCTTAATATAACCTCACTTTATAGCTTAGATTTACTTTTATAGAAGTAGTTATTATAGTATAAGGTTATATTAATAATAATATTCTCTAGAGGCTTATTAATAGTTATTTCTCTATTAGCTATAGCTTTAGTTTAAGCTATGAGATATTATTTATAGATCTAAAGATAAATAGGTAGGCTTAATAAGGTAAAAAGATAAGTAATATAGTAGTTACTAGTAATATTATTATAATTATTAAAGTATTTAACTCCTAACTTATACTTATAGAAGGCTTAGATCACTTAGTATATATCCTAGGTTTTCTTCTATTTTAACTTACTAGTTAATAATAAGTCACTCTATTACCTCTATTAATATAATAGTCTACTAATATCACTAAATCTAATAGGAATAAGCTTAACGAAGTTATTATTCTAATATAAAGTTTATAAAGTTATACTAAGTTATAAAAGCGTTTTAATAGAGTTTTAAAATAGTATTACTCTAACTAAGGGGGTTATTTAAGTAAAACTTATACTAAATAGTATTAAAGATAACTACTAAGACTTATAATAATAGCTTATAGAGATTAATATATATTAGTTAAGTAGTTTTAATATAGTAAGAGTAATAATCTTAACCTATAATAATTTATTCTTCCTCTTATTATTCTTAATAGTATTACTAATTTATCCTTAATATTTAAATAGCTATAAGTCTTAGTTATTAGGCTTTTAGTAGTTAATATAGAATATCTCTTTAGAGAATATAGCTTAATAATTTAAGCTAGAGAGGAAGGTAACTTAGGTAGAGTTAAATATAAAAGAGTGATCGCTATACTATAAAGTATACTTATAGTAGAAGTTTTTAATTATATTATAAACGATATATTTAGCTTAGTTATTTATATTCTCTTATTTAATCTCTCTAACCTTAATATCTAATTATATTTTAATATTATTTCTAAAAATCTTAATCTCTATATAAACTTAAAGTTCTATAAGAGGTAGTAGTAGTAGTAATAATTATAATAGAAGTAGTAATAAATATTCCTTAAAGGGATTATTCTCTTTAGTAGTAAGATTAATTAGTAGTTTTATAGTAGTCTTAATAATAGCTTTAGTAATAGCCTTAATAATAGCTTTAATATTATTAACTTCTAGCTATTATATCTTTTTAACCTTACTAGTGCTATTATTTATTACCTCTAGCGCTAGTAAGTTATACTACTTATCTATAAAGTTTATTTATAGCTAAAGCTATTAAGTAATAACTTTAATTATAGGTTTATATATACTACTACTAATATAAAACCTTCTTCCTCTTATATTTACCCTACTTTAAGAATTCTAATTACTATTATACCCCCTATTAATTAAACTAGCTTTACCTCTCTTAGGGCTAGTAGAGGAGTTTACTATCCTTTTTATAGTTAGCTAGGGGCTTCCTATTATAGCTATCTTATTAAAAGTAATACGTTTTAGGTTAGATTAAAGTTAACGTAGTATAAGTTCTCTCTTATGATCTTCTTCTTAGAGAACTGAGGTAGGTAGGAAGGATTTTTATATTATTAATCTTATTAGTAGAAATCCTAGTTTTAAGGAGATATTCTCACTTTTATATAATACTACTAGCCTTAATAACTACGCTAGTTATATAGAGGTTAGATTATTATTATCCTACTCTAGTATTATAATATTATACCTATATTACGCTCTAAATAATATTAAAAAGCCTAAATTACGTTAAGAAGTATGTTAATTAACGTTAATAGCGTTATTGTTAATAGCAAAAAGTGGTGTAGAGGGGTAATAAATCGCATACTAATAGGGGTTTTAGGTAAGGCAAACGCAAATGAGTGCTTTCGCCGCAAACTTTGAGTTTAAGTTCCCTATGGATCTTGAACCTTATTTGATTTGGCCCCCGACCACCTCTGCGTCAGTAGAAATCGAGTTGTATCGGCCTGAGTTCTTTAGGTAAAAGCGCTGTGTTTCTTAACAATCTATCTGCTGCCTATCTTGGTCCTGTTGGTTTCCCAGACGATAACATCTCCAAAGAGCTTTGCCAGCTTCCGCGAAGTGGTGCCACAGTCTAGATCATCAATCAGCATCTCCCTTCAATGAACGCAACGGATATGACAGTACCATTTATGGCTTTTGTTCAATAAAAGGACCATTGGCGACACCCAAATTATTCGAATTGGGGTTCTTAAGTGATAAGTGGCGGTCGGTTATGATCGATAAAAAGCATAGTCCAGCCACTCGTGCATGTCGATGGTGTTCAAATCAACTTCCGGGATGTCGAGGTCGGCAAGCATTTCGTGTAGCTTTTCCAGCCCGCTATGTTGTCGTTCTTCCCATACGCCAAGTCTTCGGCGTCTCCTCTCATCTAGAGCTCGCTTTGCCGCACCTTTCTGATGATGGCGCAGCACCCTGTCGAGAAGGCCGTTCAAAAGGGACAAAACGATACATGCGAGCCAGCCTTTGGCCGTGGCGGAATTTGGCAGCAGGGTGCCACCAGTCGCGGCACCGATAGTGCCTCTGAGTCTCAGTTCGGACATGGCCGCGGGCCATGTGTGATTGGAGGCGGATGCCATAAGCCAGCAGCGCAGCGGCGAGGGCCGAGAAAACGATGAGCTGTGCAATGATTATGTCACTCTGTCAAGGGCTCGATGCATGGGGGTCCAAAGAGGGTAAAAAGTCGGCGGCCAGGCCGCGAAGTCGGACCTACGATATGGTGGATTAGAGATGGCGGAGTACCGGGAGTGTCGGACAAAAGTTCAGCTTTCTGTGAAGGCTCTCCAAGTGTCCGACCGCCGGCCGGTGCGGCACGCGGACCATTAACGTTGTTCTACGGCTAGAGTCAAACTTTGATCCGATGAAACAGCGCGCTTGAATTCTATTACCTCCTCCAACTGGCATGGATTTCTGCAAAGCTTTGGTCATTTGATCCGATGTTTCTGCACTCGCTGATTGATTGCGACAGGTCTCGAAGCCGGCCCCGCCGCCCCGGACATCATCGGAGGCCGGTTAGGACAGAAATAAGATGAGCGGTAGATCATCTATTGGAATTGGGTCAAACTACTTGTCCAGCGTAAGTTCCAGGTCTGGGGCTGTAAAACGTCCTGGAAGAATTCCGTCTAGTTCCTTCTTTGGTTTTAGAGAGAGACGCGCATCTATTCTGACCGTTACAATAATGCAGCAATACACGTAAAGCCGAAGCGACTGATTGGCCGCATTGACGTCCGTTTTGATCGTCAACGGATCTTTGGGGATCAAGGCGGACCAAGCCCCATCTGCCAAATACGAGTGCGAACAATGCAATACGACGGAAACGCAGTGTGGCTGACCTGCCGAAGTGGCGCCGAACAAGGACTACTCCGTGAGAAAATCTCTAGAAGGCGATGCTATGCGTCGTAATGATGGGATCGCTAACGTGTAAACCCGCTTATTTCCTTCAATCGAACAGCCCTGTTCGTCTCAACGCTTGACGTTAGGATGGTAACGTGTCACTCCAATTTCCAAAGCCCCCCGCATTGGGTAAAATGTGATAGCAAGCCGCGTTAGAGACGCAGCTTCAGACGAAAATCGCCTCGCCTCCGATGCCATTTACGGTTTGGTGTTGTGGAAACAGTTCCCCAGCCGTGGGCCACGTCGCTTTCCATGTATTCGCTTAGGTATGGAGCACCTGGAGATGCATGCTTAATCGTCATCAGGCTATGAACTCCATACAAATGCCGTGCGCGAGCGTAGGCTCGTGGACGGCGACGTGGGCCAAATGGAGGCTGTTGTGGACTGGTTCCGCCCGTACTGGCGGTACCGTCAGTGCCATCGGCATATCCATTCAGGTAAGGCTGAGCAGCATTCGCCGAGTTTTCACAATATACCGAGACCGATTGCGATCCAAGATGAGCGATGATCTAGAGATGGAACTGATGGAGAAATTCCGAATAGGGGCGCAGTGGTGATGTTGAGCGGCATCTTGGGAAGTGGAGGGTCACACAGGTAATGAGATAGGGGAACAATTCATGTCGTCTTTTAGAATCATAGATAAATATCATCCTTTCTCAATTTGTTTTCTCTTGAAACACTCACCACCCCATCTTCCTTCGCTCCAATCGCATCTCATTCATTATCCCTAACCGCAGATAACCAACGATGTTGTCTCCCCCAGTTCTTTCCGCCCTACTACTGGCCGGCTCTGCTGCAGCCGGTAGCTCGAAGTATGGTCGTCGTGACTTGCTGGTTACCGACAGTGTTGGAGCTGCCTGTGACCAGTTGAGCGCCATCGCCTCCAACGCGACCCTCTTCCCCAATTCGACCGCCTACGAGACCCAGCGTATCAACGTCTGGGATAAGAGGGCCAACCTTTCCCCTGCGTGCATCTATATGCCGAGTACCGCGGAGGATGTTGCCAAGGCGGTTCAAATCTTCCACACCAACAAGGCCCCTTTTGCCGTCAAGGGTGGCGGTCACATGAACGTGGGTACCCCTTTTAGTCCCGATTCTCCGACCCTTTGTCCACTAACGGAATGTATCAACAGTATCCCGGATCCAACACGATCGACGACGGTATCCTTCTCGCCTTGAACGGACTGAATGCTCTCAAGGTTAACGCCGATGACAATAACATTGAGGTTGGACCTGGCAACAAGTGGGTAGATGTCTACCAGGAGTTGGCACCCTACGGAAAGTACGCCATTGGCGGTCGTCTCAAGACCATTGGTGTCCCCGGCCTCACCCTGATCGGTGGCGTCAGCTACTTTCTTAACAAGTATGGCTTCTCCATGGACAATGTTCTCAGCTACGACGTGGTTCTCGGAAATGGCACTCAGGTCGTCGCCGACAACACTACAAACACTGAGCTCTTCTGGGCTCTCAAGGGTGGCGGCAGCAACTTCGGAATCGTCACCAAGTTCACCCTGAAGACCTACGACATCCCTCTGGTCACCAGCACCTTGCAGGTCTTCCCCCAGGATGCCATTCCCGATTTCATCAAGGCCGCCTGTGACATGGTTCTTTCTGAGGATGGAAGCATCGGCGCCGGAGCAGTCATTAACATGAACTACAACATGACCACCAAGGAGACCAATCCCCAAGTCTTTGGTCTTCAGGAGACTACTGAGTCGCCCCCTTCCCGTTTTGCCAACTTCACCGCGATCCCTAACGCTATCACTCGCGTCCACAATGTCACCAAACCCATCTACTGGCACGCCCAGATGGAATCTCCGAACCAGATGTTCCGGTAAGCCTTGGGCGTTGGTGATCCTTAGTAGCAGTAGCTGACCTATCTTGCCAGCATCCAGTTCGCTCACCAAACCATCAAGCCCGATGCCGACCGACTCTACGAGATCTACCAGTCTTGGGTCGAAGCCATCCAGGATGTTGCTGATGTCGAAGGCCTTCGCCCTACTTACATCTTGAACTTGCTTCCCGCATCCGCCTTGACTCCCTCCAAGACCAACGGCATTGGCAACACCTTCGGTCTCGAAAATGATCAGCCCTACATCTGTATGTAACAAAGTCCGAATCTTAGACTCTATTCGCTCTTGACTAACACACCATTGCAGGGTGGCAGTTCACCACTTCTTGGGCTCGCGCCGAGGACGATCTCCGAATGACGGCGTGGCACGAGTCTCTTCTCGCCCACCACCACGAGATCAATAAGGCCAAGGGTCTCGCTACCGAGTTTATCTACATGGGTGACGCTGGCGAGTTCCAGAAGCCGCTCCCGCAGTACGGTGCTGCCAATGTCGAGAGGATGAGGTCCGTCCGTGATCAGTACGACCCTGACTTGACCTTCACCAAGCTCAGCTGGGGTGGCTTCAAGCTTGGTTACTGAGAGTAACTTTACCATGCCAAATTCTCGGTGGCTTCGTAGCTGAACCCATCGTATTTGTATAGACATCCTTACCTTCTCTTCTTTTACATAGTTACACACATTTATTGGAGACTTTTATCGCAATTGTGCTTCCTAGTGGCTTCGACGTGCCTGCATTCTGACAATCTTTAGTGACGTAATTTCCTCACAATGACTGACTTCTTGCCTCCTTATTCCATTCCGAAAACAGCTTCCTCTTCCACTTTATCGGACAAGTAATCGAAGTCGTTGACCAAACACTCCCCAATCAGTTTACACCTCTCAAATCGCATTCCTCTCAGAAACGCACGGATTTCGAAAGGCGACTTCGAAGAAACTCCGATATTCTCTGAATAATAACGGGATGCTTCTCCCAAACGCCGAATGATGAATGGTACTCGTGCTCCTCGGAGAGAGACGACAAGATCTCCTAAACAAGATCCAGGTGGCAAGATGACCCTGCAGCTATCGTCACGAGTTACATGGTTGTCGAATGTCCCTATTCTTTTCCTTTCCACTGCTGAGGACTTGTCGGTAATGAAGTTTACGTGACCCCCCACGTCGTTGGACCAAGCTGTCCTACCGGACCCGCCTGTCGTCTTCCTGCCACGATCAAATAAATGACCTTCGATTGTGTCATGGCCCAAGTCAGGGTCATCATTCAGAAGGCACCAGTCTTCCTCTTCAACCGGAATTTCTAACATATCTGGGTCTTCGTGGGCCTTCTGCCAGTTGCCAATGTGCTTCTGCATGAGGAAGCATCTCCATCGAGAGATGATTTCCCGTCGCATCTCCTCGGGGTCATTTTGTAGTCGGTCCCTAATCTTTTGGAACGACGCTTCATCCACATCTCGGAGGGTTATCCAAGGCCCAAGGAAATTGACCTGGCCCAAGCATGAACCAATCGCGTCGAGACGGGTTTCATTGGCGCCAGCCCATCTCATGCTGTCTCTTGCAATATCTCTCCGTTTTGCTCCGGCTTCTTCTGTCTCGATATCGAGAGAGCTTAAGATTGTGGGTCCAATGAACCCTGACAACGGCAAGTCTGGGAACATCGGACTAAACCTCTCATTGGTACCAGCCTGAACTTCTCTGATATCAAAGGTATTAAGCCTGAATTGTTGCGAATGCTGCCAGCTTTTATGCCTTTTGATCATCTCGACGCCCATCTTACGCCTCAGGTCTTCGATTCTTCGTGCCGCTTCACTCCAATTCCAATCCGGAACCCAAGATGGGAGCCACCCATAGGGGGAGGCAAAGAAAGGTTGGAAACGAACAAAGTGGTTGACATGACTGAGCATGTCAAAGCTCTCACTGGTGGTCAACACAAACCTTGCCAGATCCGCATACACTTGACCTGGTGGCTTGCTGTAGTCAACAGCCAGCTTCTTGTCGTCTAGATTGATGTTTGCGGATATGCCCAGAAGCGCAAATACCTTGTCCCGGGGATCCGATGCCTCAAGCTGACGCGCTCTAATGAGCATTTCGGTTATATCATCGCTTGGCGCCCTATAATATGCAACTTTGGAATACCACTGCGGTCGGAGATGGCAAAGGTCGTGACTGGCCTGGTAGGCGCATCGAGCCTGAAACATATCCTGGACTATGTCGATTCTCTCTCTTGACTGCATTGTCAGGTCGTACTGTCTGTAATAACCTGAGTGAAGAAGGAGCGATTTGCAAAAGTCGTCCCATGAAACTCCACGGCGGCCGCACTGAATTGACACGAGCTTCGAAACAACCACTTCCTGGAGAACCCACACCCTTGAGAACCATGTATATGATAGAACAGAAGCCTCAACATCTTGTATAGTGCCTTTGAAGGTTGTCAGGCTATGTTCCAGTCGAGAGGGTCGGTCAAAGTCCTTGTTGCCATCATTGTCAAGAGCCCACTCGCTGTTCCTTTCCAAAAAGTTCCAAGCGCAGTGACTTGTCGCTCTCCCATTATCGTTCCCAAGATAGACTATTGTTTCACTGGATGAGGCGTATATATCGCGCATCTGCTGGACTTGATGGTTGCGCTCTTTGACATTCAGTTGATCGATGCAGATGGCATCTGCCCAGAGTCGAATAGGCTTGTCTCTTCGACGTATGTGACGGAGTGCATCGGAAATATTGCGGCCAATTGACAACTGTTGGCCATTGATTTTAACCGTACCACCATTTGTCTTCCGACCCCAAACGTATGATAGAGTGACATATGACGTATGTTCGTCTTCGCAGTCGGAAAGTCGTGTTGATACCAGGCTTCCCTGTAAATCGGCATCGATCCTATCAGCAGGGAGCAAAACTAGAATCCTGATTGAGTCCGGATGTGGCAGTGGGAAGTAAATATCAGGAATCGTCGTAAGCCGTGCTTCTGCCATACTAGTGTCAGAGGCAAGGGCACCGGAGAAGTGAGTAATTTGAGCTGTCTTGTAAGACACTTCCTCAGACCAGCACACTGGTCGCTGAATTCGAAGGACTGCCAGTCGAAGAGTCACTTTGTGCACATATCGTGATCGCATCCAAAGGACACCTTGGCACATTGCAGGCGGGGAATTGAAAGCAGCCTGCCATCCACTGTGGATCATGCTGCTGCAATTGGGATCGGTGGCCGCGACACTGGGCACTTGTATCGCAATAGTGTTTTCCATTGGTCGGACAGAGGGTGAGAAAATAGCGCGGATCCTCGACGTGGCAGCTGTGGTGATGTAGATCCCGCCAAAGGATTGATCTGCCTTGGCAACCTGAGTGGCTGTTCTATTCACAGCCATCCCACAGCCGCCCAATAACTGGAAAATCGCCTGGCAAGTAGCACCGGGTCATTTGTATTCAATTTGCACAATTCCATGATGTCTAACTACTACTGCAATCTTTTGATCACTGCGGGCTATTGACGGTGAGCAACAACAGTATGCATTGTACACCACTCCGAATCGCGTGATGGAAATCAAGATATCTGAATATTATGCGCCTTGAAACACAATCTTCCGCAATAATCATAAACTTTATGCTGCTGATGGCTGAGTCCAGGCAGTCATCGTCTCATGACGCTGCCGCTAGGCAACAACAATGTCTCGGAAGGGCTATGCCAATACAAGTCTGTCTCATTTGCGTCATTTTCGTGGTGAAGCGGCAAAATGTACCCTGCAGGTATGCTGTCGCGCTGTGCCACAGGGCACAGTTCCTCATAAATCCTACACTTTCTTGGATCTACGCGCTTTTTGCCAGAAACTTCGCCTTTCGCTTAATCCGCCGCAACGATGTCATAGAGCCGAAGTGGGCGATTTGCCAAGAATTGAAGGGGAATAACTACTTGAGTCTCCCGGCTACAGTGAGACTAAATGATCATGTTCTGGCAAAACCTAGGCCTCGCTTTTTTTTAGTTCTGAGCTAAGTCCATAACCTTGCTGAACTCGACGTTCCTACCACCGCCTCCCCACACCAGGGACTCTATCTCCTTTTCTTTACCAACAAATTGCCATGGAGATCAGCCACGTGCTCCAACGTGACGGTGACTTCGATCGAGAATATGAGTCTGGCAAAACGGCTACTCAAGTCATTGGCGGAGGCATCATTGCTGTCATTGTCATTGTCATCGTGTTGTTCATCTCGTCTATGATAGCCGCTTGTTGCGTATGCAGCCGGCGCAAAGAAAGAAGACGTCAGCACGACTTGGAGATGAGAAAATATATGGGCGAAGACCGATCAAGCACAGCGTCCAACAATGTACATTCAGCTGGAGCAGGCGCTTCCTCCACATCAACCTATGGCCAGGGGACTTATCCTAGCCATGGATATGCCTACAACAACAACACCGGCTACAGCTACAGCAAGAGTAACGGAAATACATCGAATGATGACAATGGAATGCCTCCGGCTTATACAGCCAGAGATGGGGACTTGACCCACGGAAACAATACGCAGTCAGGTGGAGGGATCGGTACAGCATTGTAGCAGTCATTTGTTTAATGAAGCGCGCACAGAAGAAAACTTGTTTATCCTTTAAGATACCTCTTGTTTAATTGTCCTCCGGCCCAGTAATGCACGATACCCGACCAAAGATTCTTTCTTGATACATTGGCTCTCAGTCGGACAGATAGTACTAGGACAACAATATATCTTTTTTCCCGGCGGTTGTTTAGTACATGCCATACTGAATACTACTATTTTCCACTGTTAATTATTTCTGAGGATGTGCACTGTCGAAGCTTCGGCAACTAGTAATACAGGGTCAACGTGAAAATCGGCCCAGGATGCACAAAGATACGGCGGAATCAAGACAACTTTTCGAGGCAACTGAGATTGCATTACTATAGTGGAAGTAGACCTAAACGACTTTTCATTCTGCCTTTTGATTTTCCATGATTTTCCGTTACACCGCCAACTTTTCCTGGGGCCCAGCAAAGGCAACAAAAAGCAGCGACACAACTTTTTCCCAGACTCAGAAAGAGTGAGCCCGCAAAGTGCTGCAGGATTCAAGCAGAAGGAAAACACGAGACAAAATCATACTCCAGACCGCAGTTGCCATTAACGACAGCCCACTCCCTCCTTGCAAAATAAGTGACCGGTCACTTATTTTGCAACGTTTACTTGGCAACACCGATGTGCGAGAAGCACTTCTTGAAGGAGTCGGCCTCAAGAGCGAACAGACCGCCGTGGTCAAGGAGGGTGGCGGGGTTCCAGATCTCGGGGTCGAGGCGGCCGAGAAGACCAGTGTAGCTAGTGAGACCCTGGGGCTCGGTGACACCCCACGGGTTGCGGAGGACGATGTACTGCTTGTCGCCGATGACGCAGTATCCGAGGACGGAGTAGGCGTGGTTGGCAACGATGTTGGCACCGTGGAACTCGCGGCCGGTGGCGTAGGTGAAGGCCGTCATGGGGTTGATGGTCTTGTTGTTCAAGCTGTTGGAACGAACCAGGCCCAAGAGGGTGTGGGCAGAGTGGTTGTTGCACTCGTAGTAGTGGGGAGTGCGGCCGTTGATCTGGGCCATGGCCTTGATGGGGTCACCGCAGTGAGTCTGGGTGATATCGGGCTGCTCGGAGTTGGTGCCAGTAATCCACTTGGCAAAGGCCTTCTCGTACAGCGAGGGCCAGATGTCAGCACCGTCGCTGGAGCGGCAGTACAAGGGCTCGTTGTCGGAGTTGTTAATGGGGATCTCGTAGTTGACCTCAACGGTCTCGGTACGGTTGTTCTGCTTGCCTCCCTTATCGTGGAACTTGATGGACAAGAAGCGCTTCTTCTCGTTGCCGTGGGTGTGGACGCGGGTGGCGCGGTTGATAGCGCAGGGGTCGGCCCAGAAGACGGAGAAGAGGGCAGAGACGAACCAGGAGTTGCTGGAGCAGCCCTGAGTGGGGTCGTCGAAGTTACGGAGGGTCTCGCGGCGGTCACCAACGCGGAACATGGTGATGTCGGAGATCAGGCGCTTGTTGACCTGCTGGAAGAAGTAGTCGTACATGTCGCGCCATGAGGCGTTGGGTGGTTGCCAGCGACCCTTCTCGCGCATTCTGAAGGGGGTGACCAACTCATTGATGGACATGGTAACCTCGCGGTTGGAAACAGTGCGAGCGAGCTCGTGGGCGTGGAGAACCAGGCGAAGCTTGCCGTTCTGCATGCGAGCAACCTTGACCTTGGTCTCCTTGATGTCCTTGAGACCAATCTTCTCGAGGTCGTCCAGGCGGCGGACGCCAGAGAAGTCGGGGGTCTGGAGATCACGCTCGTTGAGGATCTTCATGTCCTTCTCGTCGTACATCTCGGCCTTGCGCTCCTTCTCGTTGAGCTTCATGCCGGCGTACAAGACGGACTTGTGGCGCATGTCGAAGAGCTCATCGTAGTCGGTCTGGAGGACGTTCTGGAGGATCTGGGCGGCAGCCATGGACTCGCGGTCGATCTTGCGGCCGATAAGGGCCTCAGCGAGGGCGTACGGGTTGACGGCACCAACGCAAGGGTTCTTGGGGGGAGAGTCGGGGCGAGGCTCCTTGCTGAGGTCGTGATCCTTGCTCATCTCAACGAGGTCCTCGTACTCGTCGATGTTGCTCTGGGTCGAGGAGCCGGGCTGGCTTTCGATCTTGTGTCCGAGGATCGCCTCAACGAGGGCGAGGACATTGCTGTCTCTTTCGGTGTTACGAATGTCACCCATTTTGAAGTTAAAAGTTATGTAGAGTATGGTGTGATAAGTTGATGAGATGTTGTGCTTGATGCTGTTGTAAACTGAAGACTAGAGCTAGAATCCTGCTGAGTCTCCAAAAGCCAACTGACAGGCGGGGTGTTCGTCAAGGTTAAATACTCTTCTTAAATTGCTTTCCGACCACATATTCTCAGCCTACCTACTTCTAAAACTTCGGCCCTGCAAGCCTGCAAGGTGAATCATGAATGCGCAAACCCCAACTCAAACAGTGTTATGCGTGTTCGCTATCGGTGCGAAAGTTTTCGCATGGTATACTGCGGAGAAATTCGACGTGAGATTCGGAAAACAGGCGCCGAGACTTTCCATTACCGGACTCCTCGTACTACATCACAATGTCTCCGTCGTCGTGTGCAACCTCGTAACATCAGCGAACTACTGGTCTGAGTGTCAGGTAGCATTTGCCAATCAGATGCTCAGATATTAGCTGCGTTTTCACATGTGAGTACCACATCGTAAGCAGTATCTCATAGAGGATGAAGCAGAATTAGCGCTAGATGAAGTCAAAGGCTTACGAGAATTCGTGCCTAATTGACCGTGAGGGGGTGTCTGGGTTTGCTTTCAGCACGAACTAGAGCTCGCAGGCTGCGGGACGACTGGTGATGTAGGTTTTGATGAAACCCCGAGGAGGAGAAATTCACACAGCTCGCCGACGAAGCGGGGCTCTCAGATGTTGAGGAGTCCATCTCAGGAAGATGCTTGGATGCAGCTTCCCCGCGCTGATGTGAGAAAGTGGTAAGAACGTACGTGTGGAGTTATCATGAGGCTGAGATGCAGTCCCAACAAACTCAACTCTGCAGCTACGAAGGCTGATCTACGATGCAGGGGTCTCGCAAGGACGGCAACATCGGAAGAAGCATGGGGAGCTGGTCCGGTTTGAGGTGACAACCGAGCTAGCCTCAAAACGTCAGCCGAGTGTCAGGTCTATGACATTGAAGTTGGGTGCCACCGATGCTACCGATGAAAAGCAAACTTCGAACCCACGTGGCTGAACGGACCTTCGTGGCGTCAAGCTCTGTCTCCCAATCCCAGCCATGTTGCAACAACATATCAACAACGACCACCGTTGCTATTTGACTTTCACAAACCCCTCACTCGTGCATTGAATCTCCAAATCCCCATTGGGTTTGCTCTTGCTGCAGCTCTAACGTAGCAAACGCAATTAGATGTTACGGCGGTGCCTTTCCACCTCGACTAGC